TACTTGATAGTCTACATACCATTGCTTATCCCTTTTTTGGAGCAAAACAGTGAATCACACTATCAATTTGAAAACAAGAGCACAAATTATGTGGCGAACAGGATCGTTTGTTCAAGTTACTGCGCACCGTGTAACGACTCACAGAACTCATTTGAAAAAAAAGAAAATACATTTCTGACACTTTCGACTATGCTCTACAACCTGGCATAAACGGTTTTATTTACTTTTGAAAACAATACTTAATCAGCGAAGTCTCGCGTTAGGTGGACAAGCCGAATTGCGCTTACAAGAAAATATTGAGATCGGCAATATTCTAAAAGAAAGTACGAGAATTCTTTTGAATATCCGAATCGCTTTAATATTAACATAACTAGTGTTAGCTCACTCTCGGAGAAAATTATCTAAAAGCTACTTCAGTCTGCTAGAAGGGAGTGACGAACACTGAAACTACGAAAAAGGATGACTTATAACTACTGTAGAATACATAAGTGTATATAAAGTAGTGAATAATGAATGTATATGATTGACGAGTTAGACGTGTATATATGTTTTTATTAAAGAAGCACAAGAAAAAAAATTAAAGCAATTTAAAAAAAGGATCACACACAAAAGATAAGAGGAAGATAACGATCTCTTTGTTTTATTTTGTTTTTCAAAAACATGAGGCCGACACCGTGAGATGAATAGATAGCAATAAAGATGACTAATGAAAGTAGGACGAAAAAGGAGTTTGATTAATCACCATGTGGACTAATAGAAAAGAACACTGCTCACATAGTGTCGATCATTTGCAGAGAGCATTTAAGAACAGTTAGCTCAGCATGCTGGAGCTAACACCTTCTTCGCTGCCAAAGATGTGTCATGCATTCTGTTGCATCCCTCTAAAAGAGGGTTACAAGAGACAGAAGACACACGTCAGGCAGGAGGTGGGTGCAGCGGGTATCCTGACTTTAGTAAAAATGTTAGAAAAATATACTGCGTTTGTTGCTAGTTTTATTTGTTAGATGAGTGTTGTAAGTTTCCTTCGTTGAATGCATATTGTGATAAATCGCCATTTGCTGTTTTGGCTGTTCTGCCGTTTTAAATTTCAATAGTTATTCCATTCTGTGAATATGGTATTTTTTCCAGGGCTGGGCAACTCCAACTCAGGAGTTGAGGATTTTTTTGATGGAGTTGGAGTTGACCTTGGCTGACGACGTGAATTAAAATTGGAGTTGAGATTTTAGCAGGTTGGAGTTGGGTTTTTGAATTTTTATTCTCAACTCCGTTTTGCATTCTTAGAAATATGCAATGGTTGCTAACTTATCTTCTAAACGATTGAGTGGCTGTATTCACGAGTTAATTCGAAAGTTCTTTGAGCTTTGCTGCTGGAAAAAGCTAAAAAACTCCTAAAATCCTGCTATAAAACCGAAAAATCTTCCTTATAAAAGTGAAGCAACCGGAGTTGAACTGGAGTTGAGATTTTTATTGAGAGAGTTGGAGTTGGAGTTGAAAGTCAGTGAAGTTGCCAAGCCCTGGTTTTTCCACATGGTATATGGTGATGAAGTAACACTTGTTTAATCACTGTCATTGGCCAGTTGTGGGAAATTGGTCGTGTTATTGTATTTTTTATCAAGTTTTCTTTTAGTTTTCTAGGCCTTATTTTATTCTAGCATTGTTTTGTGATGCTGTACGAATAGATTTCGTTTTAAGTTTTGTTGTTGAACTTCGTGTTGATCATTAACAACGAAAGATGAAGCTGTTGCAGAAGTCGAAGTTATAGCAGTAATATTGTAACATTGTTGTTTAACGTTGTTAGATCTAGGTTGGTTTATCATAAACAGTAGATGTCATCCTTTGTGCTTGATGATGTGTTTCGTGTTGTTGTAATTGTACTTGTTCTGTAATTTTTTCTGATGGATTAACTAATGCACAATATTGAAAAATTGGATTAAAGAATACATGTTGCTTTGCATTATCAATATATAGTCCATCAGAAAGATCACCCCTTGTAATTAATGGTTCAGTTACATGTATATTTGATGTTTCAGCTAATTTTTTCCGTTCTTTATTATAATTGATGATCATTACGTTTAAGTTGTTAAAGTTGGGAAAACGATGTGTAACTTTAGCTGCAGGTATACAAGTAACAATGGCAATTGAGGTGATATTTGGAAATTTCTGTTGTACAATTGTAATAAAGTTCTGTACTTGTAATATTGCTTGATCATATGGCACAGTATGAACAGAATTTGTAGCAATGATTTTAATGGTGATATAAATTTAGATGTTGGAGATGCACATGAGCGATGTTTCTTTTCTAAGAGAAAATAAAGACAAGTAGGTGCTAATATATCAAGAATGTAAGATGTGACAATTCGGATATTACAACTCCACAAGTTATAAGTGTATTTGATGGAGAATAAGTAATATCATATAACTGCTTAACTGATTTAAACTTATCTGATGATGGATCAGGGGGGGGGGGGGGGGGGGGGGGGGGGGGAGATGAAAAACCGGGTTAAGTGTGGCCGCGGTGGGGGGGGGGGGTTTGTTAGGGGGGGTGGTGG